CAGCCTCCAGCCGCGCCCAGCCCCGGACACCGCCGCCTCGGGCCCCGGACCCGCGGGCTGTGCGGAGACACTCCTGGAGCCCCTCGTGTTCCCCGCGCAGAGCGGGAGGCTAACGCCAAGGACTCCTCACGGCATCACCGTCACCCCTCCCACCACTCCTCAGGCCAAGCGGCGCCACAAGCTGAAGCCCCCACGGACTCCTCCTCCCCCGTGCCGGAAGGTTTTCCAGCTGCTGCCTAACTTCCCGACCCTCACGAGGAGCAAGTCCCACGAATCCCAGCTGGGAAACAGGATAGATGAAGTTCCTCCAATAAAGTAAGTTCCCTCCCAGACTGGAGCTGGAGCTCTCCCCAGCAAAGACTGTGGCAGGAAAAATGGCGACAAAAAAAGGCAGCTTCAGGAGCCTGTGCCAAAGCAGAGGTGTTTGTAACCTGACAGCGAGTGCTGCAGGCAGCAGCTCCTGCTCTAGCAATGTGTGGATCCTGTCACAGGAACAGGAGTGGCTAAAAAAAATGTTTCTTTTTCTTTCTAGGTTCGGTAAGAGATTCTTCTGGGGTGTCTGCAGTGCCTTGCTGAGAGGAGAACCTGTGCTTGTCAGCTCTCTGGTCATCCCTGTGCAGCCTCTGGAGATCTTCCAAAGGCCCTTCTACCCCAGAGCCTCTGTTAGCTGAGCAAGAGCTTGGCCTGAACTGCAGGGGTTTGACTTGGTCTCTCTGTACCTGGTATTTTTCAGAGGACTAAAGCAAGGAAAAGGAATGCTGATGTTTCAGGAGTTCAAGTGAAGGGTTTGGGTGTAACTGCTTGTCTGTGACTTCAGACAGCTGCTGCTGCTGCCTCTTGGTGCTAGAAATTTCACACCTAACCATTTAGTGTCTTTGGCTGTTCATTGCCCAGTGTTTCTGTAATGAAGTTACAGTGGTGTGCAGCCCTCTGAGAGAGCTTCAGCATGTGCTGGAATGTTCCCTCTGGTGCTGAGGAGTTTGTTCACATGGTTAATGGCCAACAGGCCTAGGACTGTTTTTGTCCAGTGCCATGTGCAGTTCTGCATATCCTGAGGGGTGTCTGTCCCAGCCACAACCTGTAACCTCAGAAACTAATGCAGAGAGATGGGAGTAGCTTGGAAAGTGTTCAAAACGTGTAAAGTCCAAATAGCACCGACATAGAGCTGATGCCCTTTAAAGCAAAAATCCCAGGAATTGCTTGCAGCAATAGAGGGTTATAAAATGAAAATGCCAGCAGAAATCTGAGCCTTTCCCTCCAGAGAGTGATGTAATTTGTGCGATAAATGAAAAGGGCATTAGAATTAAATTCAAACAGGAGTGGAGAATTTTGGTGCTTCTCTGCATGTGGTCACACTGGCTGGGTTCAGATCTGTACTGTGGTCCCTGGTGAGTCCCAGTCACCCCTAAACTGGTTTTTATTCACTACAGCTCCCCAGTAAGGATTTAGCCATCTCACCCGATTTAACAGCCAACCTGACTGTCGTGCTGTGGTTCGTTCAGGTGGTTGTGCATTTGGATGGCCACACTACACCAGCAGTATTCCTTGGGAGAGGACTATCCATTCTGTTCTAGGAGGCTGAGGACCACAGACCTTTCCAAGTTCACTGGACTGATGATAACAAAGAATGTGGTGCCATCTAGGGTCAAGGGAGGAGACAGGCTCTGTGCAAGCACTGCCAGCCCCGAGGCTGTGCTCACACTTGCAGATTTGAGTTTTCTCCAGATCTGCAATATTTCTGTAGATTTAGTTCCAGAGATGTGCCAGAATCTGAGTATTTGAGAGCTGTCAGGAAGTTATGTGCTGTAACCACTGGAGTCCTGGATTGGCATGTTGAAGTCTAGGCCTCCCTTTCTGCACTTAGCAGCTAGCTAAGTGATCTCACATCTATCTTTTTATTCTTCTGGGTCATGCTGGCCCTGTCGATAAAATTAAGATAATTTTCTGTGAAAAAGAATATTGTGAAATCTACTGACATTGCAGGAAAACTGGGTGATGGTATTTGTGGTAAACCACTTGGGAGTAAACCAATTAGGACTAAAGTGTGACTTTCCACTTTAAGAATGGCTTAGACCTGATCAGATGGACTTTTGTAATCCCTCAATGTAAACCATCACGATTTAGCAAATCGTATGGCAACAAATACGAGAGCAGTGTGTGGTAGCAGCTTTCCAGCAGGAGGCAAACCAGTGTCAGTGCTGTGTCCTGGCTCCTAGTGCTGACCTGTGGCAGTGACTGCTGGTTTCTGTCTAGACTGGCAAGCACTGTGTGGGTAATGGTTCCCTAAACCATCCTTTTGTTCTCCACCAGAACTCTCCCAAGGATCCCCTCAGACGGTACGAAGAGACTTTGGCCTGGCTGTGACACACAGGTGAGCACAGAGGGAACGAGCTGAGGGCCACACCAGGCCAGGGGCCCACTCAGTGCCTTGGTGGCACATGACCATGTTTGAAGTTGGGTTGGGTGTCTCATTAACCAAGCTCAGTCTAAACTCTGTGTTTCAGCTGGTGCCAACCTTCTTTCAGTTTCTTTTGATCAGCCAAGTGAGAAGCCTTTGCCACACCAACACCTGCCCCTTTTAGAAAGAGCTGAAGTACAGCCTGTAACTACCCGCAAGTGTTCCCCTGGGCACCAGTTAACATCATCTTTCCCCCTCTTGTCTCTACGTAGGTTCTCTACAAAGTCTTGGCTATCTCAGATTTGCCAGGTCTGTCAGAAGAGCATGATGTTTGGGGTGAAGTGTAAGTACTGCAGGTGAGCACACAGGTGATCTCCTTCGAAGAGCTCTGCCTTTGGTTCGTTACAGCCTGCAGTGACACACGATGCACTCTGAGCAGTGGCAGTGTGTTTCCAGCCCCTCTGACCTGGCAAAGGGATGATTTGGCACAGCTCACACTTTAGGTTGGCAGCCTGACACATGATGAGCCAAACTTAGTTCCGTGCCACAGGCTTCCTACCTCATCTTGGGCAAATCTGGTCATGGGAGCTGGATCCCTACGTAGCAGCCAGGGTTTAGTTTTTGCTGCTCTCTCTGGGTTCGTAGTCCAGAGCACTGAGGTTTTAGTGCCTCAGTGTAGCTGGATGAGAGTCAGTGAAGGTAACCATATTAAAATCAATCAGATGCTAAGATATGTATGTGGCTTTCATTAGCCTAATGACACCCATAATGGGACTCTCCTTTATCTCTCTGGGGCCAGGCATTCCACAGCTCCCTCTGAGATTAGCATAAGAATTACAAATTAGGGTAGGCTTCCTCCTTTTGGGAAAGAACAAGTCGCTATTTAACATGTAATGGTTCTCTTTCAGATTAAAATGTCACAACAAATGTACTAAAGAGGCACCTGCTTGTAGAATATCCTTCCTTCCCAGTAAGTCATTTTGTACAAATTCTTGGCATGTCAATGTAATTGGTGGCGTGCAAGAGCAAAGATTCTGATAAAAGCTTTTTTCCTCTCTTCTTCAACCTGTTTTTCAGTAGCAAAAATAAGAAGAACAGAGTCTGTCCCTTCTGATATCAATAATCCAGTAGACAGACCCACAGAGCCCCAGTTTGGAACTCTCCCCAAAGCACTAACTAAGAAGGTACGTGGTGGTCCCTGTAAGCTGCAGCAGGGACAGGTGGCAGCAGGATGCTGCGAGCCAAAATGGCACCGGGAGCTTTCCCTTTGCAGGAGACCTTGGTGTGTGACATTTTCTCTGTGTGAAGTGTGGCTCACGCACAGCTCCAGGTGCCTGCTCAGGCAGGTGCCTGCTCAGGCACCCAAACAGTGCTGTGGTCAGGGCTGGGGACAAATTCCCTCTCTGCTGTGCAGCAAACACTGAAGGGAATTCTTCCTTTCTTTTTATTGTTTCCTCACGAGTGACTTCCCTTGTTTTGCAGGAGCATCCACCAGCAATAAATCACCTGGACTCTAGCAGTAATCCTTCTTCCACAACCTCATCCACTCCATCTTCTCCAGCGCCTTTCCAGTCTTCCAACCCCCCCAGTGCAACGCCCCCCCCGAACCCCTCTCCCATGGGCCAGAGGGACGGGAGGTTCAACTTCCCAGGTAAGCTCTCTGCAGCAAGAGGCTCACCAGGACTTCACAGGGAGGTGTAGTTTCTGAAGCTTGGTCGTGCCTTAGGCAAGGTGTGAGTGCATCTTGTTACCTGAGAAAGGAAATGGTCTGTTCTGACAAGGTGTCAGCTCGGTACCTTTGCAGGAGAGAGATTATTGCAGAAGGTTGGCACCTTTCTTAAATGATTTCATCTATTTTCTCATTTTTGCAAAAGGACTAAAAAAATGATACTCCTCCTGCTTTTCCCCTTGTGTTCACAGTGCATGCTGCCTGCTGTGTGCTCACCGGGGCTGCAGTCAGGATTGAGGTTGCTGGGGCAGGATGTATAAATGAGAATTGGAATGACTTATTTTACTAGGCCCTTCCAAGACATAACCCACCATCAACACCCCTTTTTAAGCCACTGACATACAGGTGTAATGGAGAAAAGTTTACTCCACATCCCTTATGGATTTTAAGAGCCCCAATGTGCAGCCTTGACCAGAGCTGAGAGGGGCAGGAATCTCTGACAAGGGCAGAGAGTTGCAAGTGAGAATAAATGTCATTCCTCTGATCCTTTGAAGTCCCATGCTGCTCAGTGAGTGCTGCATCTGCCCTTCAACACTGCTGAGTTCACTTCTGAACCGAGTGCAAGGTGCTGTTGGAGCCTGCTCCAAAGGAGCAGAGCCAGTTTAGTGTCAGGATTCCACCGCAGCCACTTTGCACTGGGACATGCTGCTCAGATCCACAGAAATAAAAACCCCACAGATGGCTGCTGAGCTTCAGCTTCCCTGGGGCAGCTGAGACATGAGACATGGGCCTGCCTGGGACCTTCCTGGGCGCTGCATTTGCCTTTGCCTGTGGAGGTTTGCTCACCAGGCTGTTTGTGGCTGCCTGGCACCACAGCTTGTGTTTGATAGTGTCAGCTGTCAGGGGCTCCCCGAATGCATGTGCTGAGATCTCCCCTCGAGCAGGCTGATAATCTACTAATCTGTTCCCCAGCAGTGGCTGGGACTAATGCATTGACTGCACATGGGGCACTCACTGATGATCTCTAACTTGTGTTTGTGTTTTATCCTGGTATTTCTTTTTGCTGTTCGTTTTTTTTTTTGCAAAACCCCAATTAATCAAAAAGCTGCCTACTACCTTCAGCATAGACAACAATTTATCTTCCCAGGTGAGTTGATTGTTTTAATTCTACTAACCAGCTTCTACTGCCAAAACATAACGTGTTTGTAAACCACTGCATGTGCCCAAGAACAATAATTCTGCTTTAAAAAGGCTGTCTAAAGCAAGTCAAGCTTCCTTTTCTCAGTGTGTGTTCGGGGCTGTGTCTCCTAATCTGAGATAGTGATGTGATTTACATACTGAGATGAAACTGATTATTCAGTTGTAGAATATGAGCTTCCTGCTCGGGATTCTATCCCCAGCCACAGCCTGTGTCTAAAAAGACTCTCTAAAGCAGCTTTTAGGGTCATGTGCCAGGCTAGAAAGGCTTCACAGATCAGTAGGGGCACGGGAACAGGCCTGGGCTTGGCCAGTGTGCACAGGAGATGAGCACAGTTCTGAATGAACAGAAACATGAAGTCACATTGTCTGTGGTTGGGTTTACTTTATAATTCCTGAGTAAGAAGCAAAAGTCACCATTACAATGTTAAAACTTGCAGTCTGTAAGAGATTGAAGTGTAAAAGATGATCCTAACTGTTTCCACATTCCCAGAAATTCCCAGCCCCGCACAAACGGCACAACCTCCAGACCCTGCTGCAGACACTAAGTAAGTAGAGCTTTAAATCCTTTTATTTGCACAGTGTTTACCTGATAATCCTCAGTGCAGTCCAGAAGTGCTGTGCTGTGGCCACAACTGGACTGAGCACCCAAGAACTCCGGGGTGGTTCTGGTCAGCAGGGTTTTTCTGGTCAGCAGGGTTTTATAAAGCTGAATGTGGCACTGAGCTCTAAATGGGACACTGAGGAGTCCCAGCCTTTAACACTTAGTTATGGCTGTGTGTTGCATTCCCCAGGTCAGCAGGGTGGGTGAAGCAGAAGTTGGGCTTTAGAATTCAAAGGACAAGGCACACTGAGCTGCAAGCAAACAGCTCTGTCAGGCTGTGAATTGCAGGGTGTGCAGAGGCTGCCAGCCTGCACCGCCACGGGGGCTCCAGGAGTAGGAATGGAACACACTGTAGTAACAGCTGTGCCGCTGCCAAAGCAGTTCCTGCACTTAACTGTCGAGAGTCACTTCAGAGCCTTTGCTGCAGTGAGCTCAGAGAGCCTCTCTGTTCTATGGGGCAGGAGGTGCATTACTCCCTGACCTACCATACCTGTCAGGATCTGTTCTCTGTTGGCTTCTTCCCACTCCCACTCCCCCGCAGTGGGTCAGGGTCGCTGTTCTCACTGCTCTGCCTTCTCTTGCAGTGCTGCCCAGCAGCAGCCAGGCACGGGCACCGCGCACCAGGCACAGGTGGGTGCACTGCTCTGCCCTGGGGCTCCGAGCAGCCTCCTGCGCTGCTCTGCCTGCAGTCACACTCCTTCCCTCGCGCTCCTTCCCTCGCGCTCCTTCCCTCGCTCCCCTTCCCTCGCTCCCCTTCCCTCGCTCCCCTTCCCTCGCTCCCCTTCCCTCGCTCTCCTTCCCTCACACTCCTTCCC